ATGGTCGCATTGACACCCGAACTAATGATAGGAAGTGAAGTAATTGAGCGTGTCGATCGCCTCACTTATCTTGGAAGTCTCATCAGCCCTTGTGGTCTGGTGTGTGACGAAATCTCAGCACGGATACAGAAGGCTCGACTAGCTTTCACCAACTTGCGTCATTTATGGCGTAGACGAGATATCCGTCTATCAACCAAAGGACGCGTTTACTGCTCAGCAGTTCGTTTCGTTCTACTTTATGGCAGTGAAACATGGCCGGTAATAGTAGAGGATATCCGTAGGTTACTAGTATTCGATCAAGGTGTCTTCGAAACATTGCGCGTATATCCTGGGACTACCGAGTAAGTAATGCAGTTGTTAGGAAACGGGTACTAGGTAAGGATGGTAAATCGATTAGTGAAGTAGTGAAACTTCATCAGTTGAAATAGCTGAGACATGTGTTACGTATGCCCAACCACCGACTTCTCCGACGTGGGATGTTTCATAGTATAGGAGTAGATTGGAAGAAAGCTAGGAGCGGCCAAACCAAAACATGGCATAAGTCCATGAAGTCACTGACAAATTGACTGATCCATGTTTGTAGGTGTAGACTACGTGGTTGGGGACCGCGAGATGATAGCAACCGATGATTGGAGACGTTGAATGACATGGCTCGAAATCGTTTGCAATGGCGCAGGTGCATCCACTCTTTGTGTTCTCCCAAATCCTAATCTTCTGAATTCTTCATATCCCTTTATTTTCGCTGGATTATACTCTTTGAATAACATCTTCAAACCCTAATGTTTCCGATTGCTGGTTATACTCTTACTACCTCTACCACTATGGAATTTGAATCGACAGTTGTATCTGTGTGTTAATGTGGTGTGGCAACTTGAACTGATGTACGTACGAACGAAGTTCTATGTTGTTACTTACTGACTGATTTTATAGTAGGATTGATGCTGTATTGATAGTAGCTTTTGTGATTACCAAACAACCTCATTGTCAGACGGTGTATTAGGTCAGAGAAAGTGCGATAACTTCAAGAAGTCTACATTACTCCACTTCCTAATCACTTTTCTAAATTTCAATTTTTCTGTATTAATTCACTTCCTCATATAGAAAGTCTGGAGACACTTGCAAATGCAAATGATAATGAGTATCACACTTGTCTAACATGTATTATATATAAGTATTTGAAGTAATAGTTGGTAGAATTTATTAATGTTAATATTAACATTGGGATACAGGTATATATAGTTGAAGAATCCCAAGATAGACGAAATGCGCTACTTAAGATCTGAATGCCTGACTAAATGAAGTCTAACTTCAGATAGAAGTTATACATTTTAGGCGACAAATTTCTTGGATGTATGATACTTCCTCAGCATTCAAATAGCCTTTTTTGTAGGTCCTGGGTTCGAGTCTCGCGAGGTGGGATCGTGGATGCGCACTGATGAGGAAACCACAATAGGATGAAATGGCTACCCAGTTCTTACAGATCTTCCATGGTGGTCCAGCTTCAATTGACTCATGATCTCAACTATTAAAATGACATTGTTATGGAAAATATAAGATTAACACTTATCATAAACTGTTCATGTTGAACTATACCCACACTAGCCACTCACTGGTTAGTGCTTAAAATTACAATATATAGTGCTTAGTATTGATAAAAATCTATAGTTTTGACATCTACTCATGTCACTAAGCCAAGTTATTCACAAACACAATGTACTCTGTCTATGTTTAGATTTATAAATTAAGATAGAAATCGTCATAATTCGTTATTGTAGGTAGTTTGAAAATTTATCACCAAGATTAGCCTGTATTGTCGGTTGCTATGTTAAGCCCATATGACTTGTTCTAGCTTCTGGACAAAACAATTTATCCATTCTTCTTGAGTAGTCACGGTTTTGACCTTGCTAATTATTCACTTATCAACTGTGACTGTTTTTATATGAGCGTGTTTGTGTGTGTACACTTCTTATCCTATTCACCACATATCTGCAATCTATTTTTATATGGATTAACGCTTGATTAAATGGAGTTGGCTCACAAAATGCCTTCTCCACTGCGCGTCGTTATGATTCACTTTCTTCTATTCGCCCAATCCTTCTCATTTCCTGTCCAAATCAGTGAGTGTACAATATATATTTATTCAAAAAATCCATTCTCTTATTCGACAGATTCAATTCCGTTATTCACTAACTCGATTTAAGTCGATAATCGATATACGAGAATAGCCGACATATGTATTTCAATGACAGTCAGTATACGATCCAACTGTTTTTTAACCATATTTCTTACATTTAATTCTTTATAGTATTAGATATCACTTCTTTTTATGCACTTCTTACCTTGTTAGTTTTGTTTGCCATCATGTCTATATACGTAACAACTTGGACTACTGACTGATTCGAACCCAGTAGCGTTCGATTCCGACGCCATCGCGTATAATGCTTGTGATCTAAGGTGATGTCGAGGCAATCTGCACAGGATGCACATATGCCAATAAGAGAAAGATCAATTGCAGTCCTAAACATCAATGGGCAAATTTAATTAACCAATACAAAAGTGAATTAGAACTTCATCCCATTGTACAAACTAGTGGATTTCTGGACTCAGTAACTATGTGGATAACACTATTGCTTTTGAAGCGAACGGTACTAGATTTGAGTCTCGGAGTAAATATCAGCTCTAAGATGTATGTTAAGCCAACCGACGAGCACCGAATAGGACGAAACGCTGCCACCCACCATTTATCTTTGCTTATTAGTTGCAGACAGTTATGCATTTCAGTTAGAAAATGCCAAAATTATTCACCCAATAAACCTGAAGATTCCTATAGAATTTCTATAAGTAAAACATTCAGGCCAATCTTCAAGTAGTAAACATTGCTACATAGATTCAATCTACTATTCTATACTAAACAATCAATAGGTTACAGCACCTGAGATCAGCCTAACACATTTGTTAGATGAAGCACATAAAAACAACAAATAAGAGGCAAGGTTATCAAAGCTGATTGATTTATTTTTAGAACCTCTCTTCTGTTCGAAGTAGAACATTGATAAAAGTTGCACCGCAAAAAGGAACAATTGACAGGAGGCATGTTTATTATCAGTTAATTCTTGATCAGGGCTCTACACTAATATGTAGACACATAACTAAACAAATGTATCATTGCATTTCTGAACATCAACCTCTATGGTTGACCCTACAACAAAAGAAAGTGGTAAAGAGGTTTATTTTGGTGCATCTGGTCGATAATTGTCATCACATAGATAAAACTTCAGTGTCCCACCAAATTTACCCAATTATTCTGGAATTTGACACTTACATACATCACAATACATAAGAATACTAATCAAAAACCTAATGTTTGTATACAGACTTTGAATCTAACCTGGTCATCTACTTGGATATCATTAAATGTTTCTAAATCTTTCTCAATTTTGTTATTATTTTAATTTCTAATTCTAATCTTATGTAACCTGTTTAGTAACATTACTATTTCATTTTTATTGTACCCGTCCCCATACTGATAATTACCATGTACTCATTATTGACTAGCTTCGCGAGGGAATCCTCGGCGTTCTAGTGAGAAGCTGTACCCAGTGGAGTTAATGCGTGTCGAGTAGAGACAGGTATCTTGCTCAGTACAATGGAAGATGGTTGCGCAATTTCGTGGGTTGGTTGAGGTTAGACACTAACACCTCTGGATGCCGGCTCAGTGATCTAATGATTAAACGTTCGCGCGCAAAACCGAAGGCCTTGGGTTCGAATCCGTCGAGGCAGGATCGTGGATGAACATTTCTGAGGAGTCCCACAACAGGAGGAAACGGTTGTCCAATGCTTCCAGGTTTTCAATGATGGTCACATATCAATCGGTTCATGATCTCAACCAAAAATCTTATGTAACTGTTTGTAAAAATACACCTTACTTTTTATTCTCCAGAAGTAACTAGCTGATTACCACATTGTTAAGTTGACTCACTATAATGTAATTGGTGTCACCTTCTAACGCTCTAAAAAAGCTTATATATATTGGTGTAGAGCCCTGATGAAATACAAACTAAAAGAAAATATTTATTCGTTCAACTTATCTTTTTAATGGTTTGATGGGAATATATAATTCAGACAGTACAGTACTAATGTGGTGTGTGCTACTTAGATCGACATGAATAGTATACAACGATAGTCAGGATCAGAATGTCTGGCAGCAGAAGGTCGAGAGGGAAAGGACAGAAACAGAAAGCAATTAATATAAAAAGCAGGAACAATGAAGTCTGAGACGATGAAATGAGATTTGCAAAAGGAACAGTCAAGTTTGAGACAATTGATTGACATTTTGCAAATTAAGTATTCACTGTATGGTTCTCAGATTTTACTATGATGTTCTGTAATTTCATATTGTAATATATTCGATTGTCACCACATGTGTTCTCATTCACTACACTACCACCTAATCAACTTTTTTTTGCGTACAACTTAACTAACTTGTTGAGATAAAATTATTCCAAAGGAAGGTAATGTGAGATTGTATTTGCAAAATAAAATATTTATGTCTCATGGGGAGCATCAGTCCCTTCAAGACTTCAGCTAATCTATGTTGATGAATAATTACTACGTTAACGAGACTTAAGCCCACGACTTCCTTTTGGGTACCTTCAGTCAACTAAAATCAAAACACAGTCCACATGATATCGAGTCACTTAAACTGATGAATACATTCCAACTTGATCGATAGGATTTAATTTGTGCTTAAAGTACTAGACAAACATGACATGGTCACTAATCAAGTGACCAATTACTTCTAAACATTCTTGATTGAGATCGTGAACCGATTGATGTGAGACCACCATTGAAAACTTGGAATCATTGGACAGCCATTTCGTCCTTTAATGGGACTCCTCAGCAGTGCGCGTCCATGATTCTAAATAAATTTGGTAGTTTCTACCATATCTAAGCTACTTTTTTATTCTAATTTTGGTGTAATTTGTTATTTCAAAAACTAGTACTGGAAAGACAAGAGAAGAAGAACTATGGAATGATTTATTTGGATCGATAAAGGATAATGTCAATAAAACATCGGTAAGATGTTTTTCTTTTTATAATCACAATGCACAGAATTATACACTACTGTAATTATTACAAATTAAAACCAACTGAGAAACTGTTAAAAACTAAGGAGAACTGGTTAGCTTTTCACCTTAGTTTGTGAAAAGGTAACATCGTGCATTTATTAAATCGGACAAGGATTAAACCCATAACTTAATTTTGCCCCTAAATGCCCTGAAACGGCCGAGTGAGGAGAGTCAGCTCTCCCTCTCAAAATCCTCTCAAGTGGCCACGTGCATACAATCACTGCCAAGGAAGTCCTACTCACTGCCTTCTCGCGACATTACTATTCTTTGCGAAAGTAAGGGGAATAAAATCGAATGTCTGGCGCTTAAATCGGGTTGGTGGAATTGGAGGATCCACCTAGAGGAGTTGGAAAACCCTGATTACAAACCAATGGTGGACATGAGCTCCAGTACCTCAAAGGAACAGATAGCATATTAACCTATTGTTGGTCACTGGCTACCAAGGGACTGCCTCTCCTGACGTTGCTTCACTACCTTCTGAACTAGACCTCCAGTCCAAATACTCAGGGATAGGGCCACCTAAGGAAACCACCTGCACTACTACTTTAATAAACAAGAACATGAGTGGGAACAAACAAATATATATTCGAATGTGAAATTACAGAACAGCTATATAATTTTTATATGATTTTGATCATTACCCTAAAGAAGTTCAGATAAGTTGACTGGACGAAACTTTGGAATTATTTAGATTTCAATCGATGAGATTATTTCATATATAATTTTTACATAAAATGTCTTCTCTATACTCGGTGCCCAATTTCTGTCAAACTATTCGTTCTAATCTTGACGATTATTCATATAAAACATCTCACTAATATCTAAGTATCATACGGTAAATGGTTAATTTGCAAAATGTCAATCAATTTTTTCAAACTTGACTGCTGCTTTTGCAAATATCAATCCACCGTCTCAGAATGCATTGTTCTTGCATTTTCATACCAATTGCTTCCCGTTTCCGTTCTTTTCTTCTACTGAAATACATTCTATACCTGACCATCGCTATATACTACTTGTGTGGATATAAGCAGACCACACCATACTATTCATTTGTAGTTCTATACAACTGAAGAGAATCCATAGAATAAATGGATTAGTATGATTTACTAAGATTAATATTCCTATTATATGAAGTAATTGGCTTTGAGACAATAATTTGTTATTTTCTTTAGTGGAATTTATTTACTATCCTTTTATTGAAGCCTGACCACGTAGCTATGCAGAGGAAAAAGGCAAAATATTAATGGGAACCCAAATTGTACAACCGTGATACGTATATGTAGATAGACAGATGTCGTCAGTGACTTTAATAAGCGAATAATTCACTTACTCATAATAGACTTTCCATATTTGTCGATTACTTACTTTAAAGCTCACCAAGATTCACTTGTCAATAAGTATGATTGTATGAAACTTTACCATAAAAAGCTAATAAGTAATTTAATGATTGAATTTATATGTCAATCGAAGCCAGGCCACCATGGAAAACCTGGAAACACTGGACGGCCGTTTCGTCTTATTGTGGGACTCCCCAGTAGCAGTGCGCATCCACGATCCCGCCCCGGGAGATTCGAACACAAGACCTATCAGTTTCACACGCGAACGCTCAAACTTTAGACCACTGAGCTGGCATCCACTGGTGTTGATGTCTAACTTCAACTAATCCACGAAATTGAGCGACACATCCATCATTGTCTTCAGTGAGTTACTATCTCAAGAACAGACCAGGCTGAACTCCACTGGTCACGGCTTCTCATACTAGGATGAAACGGCCGTCCAGTGCTTTCAGGTTTTCCATAGTGGTCTAGCTTCAATTTACTCAGGAATTCAATTATTGAAATAGAACTATTAACAATAGTTATTCGAAAAATTTTTTTCACATCAAGAAATTTATATGAGACGATTCTAACAATGTATTATCAAGTTATTATACCTGTAAATTTCTGCAACAATTCGAAAGACTCTCTGTCTCCCATATTGTACGAGCATTTCATGTATCTAAATTACTGGTTGCTCTGTTTGTCAGAAGGGGCATTAGCCTTGCGACTTCCGAAGGAACTCAGCTTTCACCGTGAGGCATCATAACTCTTCTAAAGGAAAACCTTTTAACTTCCAAGGCATAGTTTGAATAATTTTTTCTGGTTATCGTTTTTTTAGCGAGTTAGTTTTCTACGGGATGACATCGCTAACATTATGCTCAACCCTCTTTTATCCGGACTTCGGATCGGCAGTATCCTCAGAAGGACTCCAGGCGGAGTTATAGTTGTAAATTATATGCATGGAAATTTGATCCACATATTCAAAATACTACACAATTATTACTTATATTGACGTTTGTGGTTTATACCATTGAGGTGTCTCAGAATGAAAACAAAAAAGGCAATAAAATTAGTTAACAAGTCTAATAAATTCTTTATACGTAAATATATCTCAGTCGGTCAATCAGTAACAACGCAGAACCTCGTATATACGTACATCAGTTCGAGTTACTATACCATATTAGCACAGAGATACAATTGTCGATTCAAATCCCGTAGTCGTAAAGATAGGATAAACAGTATTCGGAAAGTAATTATATCTATACTAATCATATTGTATTTTACTCTTTTCTTTTCGTTTATTCATTTTATTATACATATCAGGAAGTGATAAATCAACATCAATCTTCTAATAATGGAATTTTATTCAGTAACAATTCGAACATTATCAATGCATCTATACACAATTCGAATTGGAAAACAGGAATTAATCAGAGAAATAATAATAATAATAATCAAGATAACTTAAAAGATACTTCCAAACAACCATCATGGTTAGCATTTCATAAAACAGTTAATCAACTATCAAATGAATCCAACATGATTAACAATCGGAATTCATTCAATCGATTGATCGATCATAACATCACTGCACAATTAGATAATATTGATAATGATATTGAAGTATTACAAATTTGATCATGGAAATGTCTAGTTTTATTATTCCTTTAAAGTTATCATCCAATTGTAAGTAATTACCTAACTGTTACAAATAGTTCATTTGTTTATTCATTATCAGTATTACATAAGAAAAAAATGTTAATTATCATTATTAAGATGATTATGGCACATTACTGTTATGTGTGATGTGAATTTAAACAATGTACTTTATGTGTATAAACATATACAAATGTGTTACTATGTGAATAATTAGTTTTCATTAAAAGTACCAAATAAATTACTTGTAAATCTATGAAAGAGTTAATCTTACTAATGATAGAGCATGAGATTTTGATCCGGGTGCCCAAACCAAAGCACGTGGTTTTCTTGAGGGGTCACGCCTGGAACCTTCAACGCAAAGGTTTGATTCACAAGGCAGTGGAGCAACGTCAAGAGATGCAGTCTCATGGTAGCCGGTGACCAACGATTGGTTCATATGCCATTTGTTCCTTCAGGATACTAGAATGCATGGGCACCATTTGCATGGAATAAGGGTTTTCCAACTCTCCTAGGTGGATCCTCCGTATCCATCAACCTGGTTAAAGCACAGGTTATTCGATTTCCGTCCTCTCAGTTTCATAAACAATATTCCCGTGGCGAAAAGGCAGTGAATAGGACTTCCTTGGTAGTGTCTGTATGCATGTGGCCTTTTAAGAGCATTTCGAGAGGGAGAGCTGACTCTCCCCACTCTCAGCCGTACCAGAGCTTCGATTCATAAATTAATCGAAAAGATAGAACGGTTCAAATTAAATCTGAAGTAAAACAACCATACGGTCATATGTTGTACAACTCCACATGCCACTGCTTCTCACTAGAACCCCAGGTAATACCTCTTTTCTTTTAAATTATTTGACATAAAGTTAAAAACAATGCACAACCAAAGAGTTATAATTAGGATGAGCGGGAAGATTTGTAACTAAGGCAGATGATTTTTGCTTTTCGGTTCCAACAACAGAAATAAATCATTGTATATAAATAATTATCACAAAAATCAAGGCTTGATAGAGCACCTTCACTGCATGAAATATTAAACGAACACGTCTCAAATTTATCTTTCACAAAAATATATACTGGCGTAAATATAAGTATATTGGATAGACAGTGACAAAATCTTCCCAGGAAATAGATCGTATACGAAAACATTTCCACTAGCTATTACGCGGATATTAAGTTACTTCAGAATCAGTCAGTGACTAGCTGACGTATTCTGGAATGAAAGATGCTAAAGCATGGGAAGTGAAATGCATCATCTACAAGATCAATTGTCCTCAGCATGTGGATTTACGGATATTTGATGGACTGGACCTGGAGGGATCAATATGACAAATAACAGTCTACTCTAATCCAAATCATTCTTGAAATTTTCCCAGTTTAGTGTCTTGACGCCTTTCCAATCAAATCCGTGCTCATTGTGGTATGTATATATTGATATAAGTAATAGTTTAAAATAGTTTTCATTGCTAGTTTGTGTTTATATGGACGGTCGTTTCGTCCCAGCAAGGATCTAGGACTTACGAGCTATTGATAAACGTTTAAACTTTAAAACACTGTTTGCATCCAATATTTTATATCTCAATCATTCGTAATATCAAATTGAACTAAAAGAACTCAGATGTAATCCGTTTCTTTTAGAAACCGAAATGTACAGCAAGCAATTCACACCATTTTCATTACAGCGTCACTGACCATGAATACTTGTAAGGCCCAGTTATGCGTTTAGAGCTGACATCATAAAGAGAATCGCTAATAAATCAACACTAAAAACCCTTCAAAGTGAAACATGGACGTGTCATTTCAGTTTACGCTTTAAGGAAGAAAAACCTTTAATAGATGAATATTGTAGTCAAACATATTTATGAATCAACATGATTCATCACGATAATTCAAAACAAATTTAACCTTTTTGTTGACGTCTGATCTTCATAAACTTAGCAAATTGTGTGTAACCAAAACTGAACTTCAAAACAAACAACTGCCATTCGGTCTTATTCGTGTAGGTTTTGTGACTTTAAGTCCATCTAAATATCACGTGACTTATTCGCTAATCGAAATACGACTTATTCAAACTTAGCACTGTGTCAAACCAATGACGTTCAACCGGTATGAGCAGTTTAGTGTCCTTATTGGTCGTTTTTCCTCACAGCCCTGCCAGTTGAGTCCAGAACACCAATAACAGCTTTCACTATGAATCATTTACTTCAAACATATCTGGTTTATATACAAGCCAAACAGATCACATCACACCATAAAATAGGAAATAACATTTGTACAAGATCAAGCCCGAAGGTGGCTGTGATTGCGAGAGACTGTAATCAATAAACTGAGTATAGTTAAAGATAGCCTATAGGTCAAAATAAGGCTTATAATAAGGAGAATATAGATATACATAATCTAGCTACTTAATAGAAGTTACCTGTACTCTAATCTTCACTAGGTTAAAACAGTTATGATAACGATCAACTGAATAGTATCGCCTTTGATTTGTTCTCCTGAAAAAAATTGTATCTAAATACTTTCACGTTACCTTCAAAGACGTTTTAATTTAGACGACAGAATTACCAATTACCTATTTTGTATGTAAATCCAGTTTCATTTCCAAATCACATTTTCAAAACATCTCGGTCAGTCAGTTAGTAACAACATAGAACTTCGTACGTACGTACATAAGTTCGAGTTGCCACACAACATTAGCACAGAGATGCAGTGGTCGATTCAAATCATGTAGTGATAAAGGTAGTAAAATTATAAGCTGTAATCAGAAAAATTAGGGTTTGAACATGTTATTCAAGGATCAGTCAGTAGTCCAAGTTGTTACGTATATAGACATGATGGCAAACAAAACTAACAAGGTAAGTGCATAAAAAGAAGTGATATCTAATACTATAAAGAATTAAATGTAAGAAACATGGTTAAAAAACAAATAAAACTAAAGGATTCAAAGTATAAAGTAATATTCAAGTAAGAGTGATTCCAAAAGTATTACAGTATTCAGTTTCATGGCTGACTAACCAACATCTCTGAACATGGATTATGATAATCGCTAGTATCCCAATCTGAAAATTCACACTTATAGAGAAGTAACACTCCAAAAAATCAATGAAATCTACTTACTGATATCATACTATTGTCTACTAACTCATTAATACTCTCAGTCATCATTGGTAAGTGTTAGGAGACTGTGGTTTTTAGTGGCCCTTCATTTTGACGTCATTTAGACCACACGATATTGACTGGCTCATCACTATAATGGTCCTGAATCTGATTCCAGTTGGATCGTATACTGACTGTCATTGAAATACATATGTCGGCTATTCTCGTATATCGATTATCGACTTAAATCGAGTTAGTGAATAACGGAATTGAATCTGTCGAATAAGAGAATGGATTTTTTGAATAAATATATATTGTACACTCACTGATTTGGACAGGAAATGAGAAGGATTGGGCGAATAGAAGAAAGTGAATCATAACGACGCGCAGTGGAGAAGGCATTTTGTGAGCCAACTCCATTTAATCAAGCGTTAATCCATATAAAAATAGATTGCAGATATGTGGTGAATAGGATAAGAAGTGTACACACACAAACACGCTCATATAAAAACAGTCACAGTTGATAAGTGAATAATTAGCAAGGTCAAAACCGTGACTACTCAAGAAGAATGGATAAATTGTTTTGTCCAGAAGCTAGAACAAGTCATATGGGCTTAACATAGCAACCGACAATACAGGCTAATCTTGGTGATAAATTTTCAAACTACCTACAATAACGAATTATGACGATTTCTATCTTAATTTATAAATCTAAACATAGACAGAGTACATTGTGTTTGTGAATAACTTGGCTTAGTGACATGAGTAGATGTCAAAACTATAGATTTTTATCAATACTAAGCACTATATATTGTAATTTTAAGCACTAACCAGTGAGTGGCTAGTGTGGGTATAGTTCAACATGAACAGTTTATGATAAGTGTTAATCTTATATTTTCCATAACAATGTCATTTTAATAGTTGAGATCATGAGTCAATTGAAGCTGGACCACCATGGAAGATCTGTAAGAACTGGGTAGCCATTTCATCCTATTGTGGTTTCCTCATCAGTGCGCATCCACGATCCCACCTCGCGAGACTCGAACCCAGGACCTACAAAAAAGGCTATTTGAATGCTGAGGAAGTATCATACATCCAAGAAATTTGTCGCCTAAAATGTATAACTTCTATCTGAAGTTAGACTTCATTTAGTCAGGCATTCAGATCTTAAGTAGCGCATTTCGTCTATCTTGGGATTCTTCAACTATATATACCTGTATCCCAATGTTAATATTAACATTAATAAATTCTACCAACTATTACTTCAAATACTTATATATAATACATGTTAGACAAGTGTGATACTCATTATTATTTGCATTTGCAAGTGTCTCCAGACTTTCTATATGAGGAAGTGAATTAATACAGAAAAATTGAAATTTAGAAAAGTGATTAGGAAGTGGAGTAATGTAGACTTCTTGAAGTTATCGCACTTTGTCTGACCTAATACACCGTCTGACAATGAGGTTGTTTGGTAATCACAAAAGCTACTATCAATACAGCATCAATCCTACTATAAAATCAGTCAGTAAGTAACAACATAGAACTTCGTTCGTACGTACATCAGTTCAAGTTGCCACACCACATTAACACACAGATACAACTGTCGATTCAAATTCCATAGTGGTAGAGGTAGTAAGAGTATAACCAGCAATCGGAAACATTAGGGTTTGAAGATGTTATTCAAAGAGTATAATCCAGCGAAAATAAAGGGATATGAAGAATTCAGAAGATTAGGATTTGGGAGAACACAAAGAGTGGATGCACCTGCGCCATTGCAAACGATTTCGAGCCATGTCATTCAACGTCTCCAATCATCGGTTGCTATCATCTCGCGGTCCCCAACCACGTAGTCTACACCTACAAACATGGATCAGTCAATTTGTCAGTGACTTCATGGACTTATGCCATGTTTTGGTTTGGCCGCTCCTAGCTTTCTTCCAATCTACTCCTATACTATGAAACATCCCACGTCGGAGAAGTCGGTGGTTGGGCATACGTAACACATGTCTCAGCTATTTCAACTGATGAAGTTTCACTACTTCACTAATCGATTTACCATCCTTACCTAGTACCCGTTTCCTAACAACTGCATTACTTACTCGGTAGTCCCAGGATATACGCGCAATGTTTCGAAGACACCTTGATCGAATACTAGTAACC